CTCGTGGAGTTGCTGACCTATGCTGTAGCCAGGCTTGGAGTGAAGCGGGTCCCCTCTTCAGCAAAGTATGACCCTCATTAAAGGGCCTTCACGTAATTCTTCAAATGTCACCGGAAGGCTCAGCGCAGTGAGCTGGGTTCTTGGGATTCTTGTGTAGTGAGAGTGGTGGTGGAGTCCATCAGATGAGGCACACACTTCTAAGACTGACAACCATCGTCTCTAGGGTGAGAAGATAGTGTTAACCTTTAGGATTTGAGTATTTACTGAGATCATCCTGAAAAAAACCCTACCCCTAGGTCCAGCCTACAGGGCTGAGGATCTGGGTAAGCAACAGTATCTAGAGGCTAGGTTGGGTTTACAGAATTATAATTCATATAATTTACATCACAATCTGGTGATGGGCCAGATGGGTCTTTGTTTGGCTAAGTTAAAGAACTGTTGTTTCAGGCACTGCTGCGGTCACCACTTCAGACCCAAATTAGGCTTGAATAAAGACCTAATCTTTAGGTACTCAACGATGTCTTGCAACATCCATGACCTTTGTGGCTCTTTTGGTCACAGGATGATCACACGTGAGTTGGAAAGTTTTAATTACATTATTTTCCTCTCAGAGACTGGTGAACTCTTCTTCCATTTTGGCTTCCCTTCCCATATCCCCATGGCTCATGGGAACTGCTACCTGTCGATAATATGTCTATTTGGAAGAGAGAAGGAAAGGTGTCAGGACAGAGGAGCATGATCAAGACATTCCTATGAAAAATCACCTGGAAAAAGGCAGCTTTGGCCAGTAGCTGTAGCTGTTCCCATTCCTGCTGCCCTGTCTCAGGGGTGTGGTTTTACAAAAGGGAGAGAACCAAACAGGGCTATTTAATAGGGCTTGCAACCTGCTAAGGACAAATCCTATCTTCATAACTTTGTGCCAACTCAGTCATAGAATTGTGGATTTTAGCGCACAGATAACCAAATTATTTTGGTGTTTTGAGGATATATCTAATGCCCTCCAGATGGCTCTCAGGAGATCCACAATGGACAGCAACCCAAGAACACAGAGGGACTGGACTCGGACACAGAGGTCTCAAGGTGTCTTAGAGCTACAAAGGCAGCAGGGACACAGATGAGCTCATTAGAAAGAACCCGGGCCGGAGGTCAGAGTGCTCGCGCTTGTGAGTGCTCTCCTGTTTGGTTTTGTTTTTTGGATTTTTATATTTTTCTTTTTTGGTGCTGGGAATCAAACCCAGGTCCTTGCACATGTTAGGCAAGCACTCTATCACTAAGCTACCTCCATCCCTTGTTTTTTGGAGATGAGATTTTATTTTTAAATATTTTTCCTGAAGCTGCATTCCACTCCATTTAGGCCCTACCTATTTAAAACGTTTCATTAATCACATTCTTAACTGCCTAAAAAGACCGTTTTCCAAGACAGATAATAGTATGCACCACCAAAAATTAGTATCTCTTCCCATTGCTTAATCTCAAAGCAAACACAAAACAAAGATGCAGCAAGGCACTTTGGTACTTGTCTTGACTCTGTGAGGCGGCAAGTATGGATTTTGGAATTATTTATTCATCATTTCTTTCTCTGAGCCTTTTTTACCCATAGTACCTTTCGACTAGAAAAAGGAAAATGCAGATGAAGCCAAGCGTATTTGTGGGTTTTTTTTTTTTTAACATTACTTTTGCATCCTTAACGATAAGAGCTTAAAATAGCCAGGTGCTGTTGTTGGCCGTGACCGTTAGGAAAACTAGAAGGGCCACAGAGCCTTGTCCTTTAAAGCCTGACCCAGCTGGCTCCAGGGCCTGGAGCACTGAGTGTTGAGAGCAGTCTCCCGCCAGGGAGCTGAGGGCCGTTTCCATGGAAACCCAGCCCATCTCTTCTTCAGCTTGGAAACCCAAGCTGTGCCCTCTCGATGCCTCCGATCTATCCATGGGGACCTTGACTGCCCCACGTGGCCCCGCTTCATAGAAAGATGCTCTCATAGACGAGGGGGGCGCGAATCAATCCAGCAGTGCTGAATCGATTCCACGCCACTCAACTTCCAGATCTGGAGCTGACTGCCTCGAGAGGCAAAGATTCCCTCTGTTAGCTGAATAATCACTCGCTCACCACGGCAGAAAACTGTGGTTTTCAGTGCTGAGATTTCTTCAAGCTAGCAAATTTGTATGTGAGTGGGGAGTTTTAAAAAGCCTTAGTCTTGAGCAGTCATGTAGAAATGAATGCCGGGAGGGGCTGGAATAGACAGCCTTTGAAGGCGTCCCAGCTGCCTTTTACAGTCCAGGAACGCCACCTAAGGATGGCCAGCCTGAGTAGGGGAGCACTCGTGTGCGCCCCCGGGGGGACGCATGAGGGCGAGGGAGCTGACAGTCCCACGTCTTTAGCACAAGGAGGGGAGAGGAAAGCAAAGCCCTCTGCATGGTTGCCCTCGGTCCTCTTCACAGAGAGCAGCTCTCACCCTTAGCCCCCAGGTGTCCCCACAGCACACAGCTAGCTCCATGGCAGAGCTGGCAGGCAGTCCCCACCTGCCCCACGTGAAACGCAGAAAATAAAAGCAAATGTTTTGAGAAAGAAAAGCTTCTTTCCTGAGCCGCTTTCTCCCAATACAGAGAAAACTCTGAAAATAAACAAAATCATTAAGTTTTTTTTGTTTTCCACAACTCTTTCTTACCAGATGAATTACACATTTGCAAAAGGCAGTTAAACACATAGAAAACAGCTGCAGAGCTTTTTGTAGGTAGTAAAATTGGATTTTCATTGCATTATTTTGCTTATAATACCTCGCTGTGAATTTGAGCAAAATATGACAACTTCCTTCCACCCCCATCAAAAAAAAAAAGACATGAAAAATGTTTACTCCTAAAAATGAGCAAATTTTAAATTGACATTCACTAGGGGCTTATATTAGAAAGAGCTTAGCATCTTTTTCCTAGCTAGGCACCGGTGGCTGTAATCCTAGCCACTCTGGAGGCTGAGATCAGGAGGATCATGGTTTAAAGCCAGCCCCAGACAAATAGTTTATGAGAGCCTGTCTCAAAAATATTCAACACAAAAGAGGACTGGTGGAGTTGCTCAAGTGGAATAGTGCCTGCCTAGCAAGCATGAGGCCCTGAGTTCAAATACCAGTACCACCCCCCCAAAAAAATAATCTTTTTCCTTGAGCAAAAAATAAGGCTGAGGATATGTGATTGGCTGGTAGGAAACAGTTTCTTGGTTCCTTCCCAAAACCGAAAGTGTCATGGAGATGAGCGCCTCTCAAAGGGATCACTTCCCGCCTACCTGTGAGAGACCCAGGTCATTTGGAAAACCAGCTGCTTAGCTTCTGCCACTTATTACTCAATGTCATTATTACTGAATGACCGTAGGATGGAACTGTGAGTGCAGGTAACCAGCTGCTGCTTCATCAAAATGAAGTCCCCATCAGGGCTGGCGCCGCTGCTGACCTGCAGGTAGTCTTCAGATGGCCTGCACGCTCCAGTCCTGACATCCTGGGCGGCACCCCACGATTGCCCCACCTCCCTTTTGCTCATTTGGTTTCCAGCCCACCCCAGCACAGGCCGTGACTTTGACTTTATCCTTCTACAAGGTACGACATGGAAGACATCTATTTCTATACCCCGAGCGAGAGCTGTGACCTTGCACATCCGAGCGTCAAAATACGACATTCATACACTTGAACTTTGCCCAGCTCCCTGTACTTCCACCCTGCGCCCTCACACTCACCCATCTGAAGAAAGCCCAGGTGCAAGCTGGCAGCATGCTTTCCTGCCCTCAGCACCTGCTGAGCTGAGGACTTCCTGAGCTGCAAGCAGCCGGAATCTCTGGGAGCAGTGTCACTTGTTAGTGATTTAAAAATGCGTGAGATTTTGTCCTTGACAAGGTTTCGGGCACTCATGGGTAGGAACGGGCACACAGAGCATTTGAGCCTTCCTACTAGGTGGTGATTTTGCTCACTGAATCACTTTATCCATGCTATTTGGGGAAGTTTACAAATTTAATGGCAAGAGAAATTTTTTCTTAAATTTTGTCCCTTAATTTTTACTTCATGGTGGTAGAAAAGCAACCAGAGCTTTAAGTAAAATGTTTGGCAGTACTACTTGCTTATTTTTAGGAGGCATATTGAAGAAGTTATACGGAGCAGGACTTCAGTGGTTCATGGCTGTCACCCTAGCTACTTGGAAGGCTGAGATCTGGAGGATCAAAGTTTGAGACCAGCCCAGGCAAATAGTTTGCGAGACCCCATCTCTAAAAACCAGAGCAAAATGGACTGGAGGTGTGGCTCAGGCTGTAGAGCATCTGCTTTGGAAGTGCGAAACACTGCATTCAAACCTCCAGGCCCCAAAGGAAAATCAAGACAGTATAGGAGCCCAGGGGATCTCCACTGACCTGGCCAGTGGGTTCAGCCCCTACGCTGCAATCAATGGTTGAATGTGACAGCCTTTAGGGTGATCATATCTGCCTGAGTGTGACCGAGCAGTGCAGGTACAGGCTGCTGCCTTCACTGGGCTCTGGGAACTGCCCAGCTGGCCAGCACTGTGAGGAGCTGTGAGGCTGGGGAGGGGTAGCCTGATCAAGACCATGCTCTCAGCGGATGTGCACATCTCTCATTGTGTGTGTCTGGCTTCGTGTATGGACTGGTGTAATAGATAACAAGCCCTGTAGTAACCAGCCTCAGCTGAACATAAAGTACAAATAAGGGAAGGAAACACGGGGTATAATCCAGAATTCCCAGATTAGTGACCAAGGATGCCAGGTGCTCTAGGGACTGTGGATCCCAAGTGCTTACCAAAATTCACGACCCTTCTGGTGATGTCCTTGTGCTGGGGAGGAAGGAGATGGTCAAAAGTTTGTGTGTGGTAGTGGTGGTGTGAGCTAGGGAGCGCCCAGCTTAACCCAGCTCTCAGCAATGAGGTTGAGCAATAAAGGGTTTGCCTTCCGCTAATAAGGAAGTTAAGTATCCAGGGATTTTATTGCCTAAAGTAAGCTGTATCTGCATTTCTACTTGTAGGTGTCCCACCCCTGGCTGCGACGGTTCTGGGCACATCACTGGCAATTATGCTTCCCACAGAAGGTAGGTGGGCATGCTGTTCTCAAAACGTCCTTGCACATTGGAGTGGCAGTGCCACCCTGGCAGGATCACCACTCACTCAGGCGTGGGAGCAGGCTCGGTTTGGCACCTCTGGATTAAGAATCTAGACGCTGAGCCTTGTAGAACCGTGCTATGCTCCTGGAGTCCACTAGGAAAGCCAGCCTTCATCTCTCCTGGGTCTGGGGTCCACCTAAGAGAGCCAGCCCTCATCTTTCCTGGATCTGGATGCCTTCCTGGGACAGCAGGGGCCCCAGTGAAAACATTTTCAGTCCAAGTTGAAAGAGCAAAGGAAAAAGGTTCACCGTCAGTGTAAGATGTCTGAGAATGGCCATTGAGAGGCAGGAGTTCTGAACAAAAAGCTGATCCCATAACTTTTAAGATTCGAGCTGCAAAACTGTACAGTCATCTTTTAGCAGGGATACACAGAGCTGAGTGCTGCAGAAAGAATTGCCTGTAAAGTTCTAGGGACCATCACTCCCACAGAGGAGGAAAAGTCCACAACACAGCACAGGAGCCCCGTCACGTGAGATTCCAAACGTCTACACTGCCTGCCCTCCAGTCAACATTGTATGAATGCTTCTTTCAGACCAGGCTGCAGGCTAGAAGAGAATTGAAAAAACTGCTTGTCAGATTAAAGAAAAAAAACTATCAGAATAGTTGCTAATGATAGCAAGGCCACGTTTACTCCAGGAGGCCATGTGGTGGGTTCAGGGACCCCTGTACCCAGGCCTCCGAGTGGAGGAGAGAGACTGGCTGACACTTGAGTCCTCACAGGAAGGACAGGTGAGGCCAGTGGATGTCAGGGTGGGAGGGAAGGAAGCAGTTACAGGGAGGGCTAGAGGTCCCTGAAGACAGGTCGGTGCACAGCATGGGCTGCATGAGAGCTGGCTGGCTGCACCATAGCACGCCAGAGTGGTCATAACACCCTGGTCATAACGGGACCTGGCTGGCCCATTGTGGATGGAGGACAGGACTCACGTGGCCCGGCGTGGATGGGGACGGGACTCGCGTGGTCCGGCGTGGATGGGGACGGGACTCACGTGGCCCTGCGTGGATGGGGACGGGCTCACGTGGAAAGGCTTTGCCTGGAAGACTCTACTGCCCATAGTAGTTGCTGTGCTCACGTTCCAAGCACTTGGGAGCTCTGCAGAGACAGCGCATATCTGTGGCCAGTAGAAACTCTGCTTGCCATCTGTCATTTTTTGGAGGCATATGTCTTCATGTTCAGTGGGAATACCTCGAGCTCTTGACCAGGTCTCTCCACCTCAGCACTGTTAGCATTTGGGGGCAGAAAATTCTATGCTGGGGGGCTGTCCTGTGTGTACGGTGGGCTGCTGAGCAGCCCTCTGGCCTCCCCCTCAGGGGGACTCCTTTGTCAGGGATTTTGATGCCTCGGGTCAGTAAAAGAATTTACCAAGACAATTAAGTAAGAAAAGCAAGAGGTTTGTTACAACACCGCTCAAGAGAAGCAGCGGGAGGGCAAAGTGTGGCTTTGGCACAGAGATTGGGCAGGTTTATTAATGCCAAGTGAAAGCATGGCCTCTGGCAGGAGGGTGGACAGACTCAGAGCTGCCCTCGGGATCTCAAGACCTCAGGCTTCTAGTGGGGTCTGCAGACATGGATGTGGTCAGTACTGGAAAACTGAGTTATGTGTCAATAACTCTCAGAGGCTGGGCTCCATATCATCAGCTCCTCCCTCCCGTGGCGTGGAGGTTTTGGCCTTGAAAGATCAGATTGGGGCTGTTGTTTTCTGTGGGCTCCAGGGCCTGCAGTCAGCAGACCCCGCTGTGTGTCACAGCCAGTCTGTTAAGAGATGTGGTTCCTTATCAGCCTCCAAGCCATGGCTCTCACATCAGGTTTCCTATCCCTGCCCACCCCTCATCACCCCAAGCCTCAAGAAACAAAAGACAGGCCTGCTGTCAACCACAAATGGCTTCTTACATGCATGACCTCACCAACCCATGGGATCACGTAATCCTGAACAGAAATGAGGAAACAAGGGCAGGAAATCTGACTTCCCATGTGTAGACTCCGGTGTTCTCTGGGCACGTCCCTGTTCTCTGATGTGCACGGTCTGAGGCTCCAGCTGAAAGATGGGCAGCACCTACTGCTCAAATCCAATGTGCTTTGGGGTCCAAGCACGGATTCCCAAGGCCTTTCCATCATGAGTACAGGACTCACCAGGCCTCAAGGAGACAATGGAGACACCGACACCAGTATGATGACACCCAGAAGAACAAGGAGAAAGGCTTCCTTCAAGAGTCTTGTGTCCAGATCACAAAATGAAGAATGTGACCAGGAAGCTGCTGGAAACAGCCAGCTCTGGGTTCACCTCTCAGGACTGGCTCACACGCCCAGGCCTGCTTTGTCAGATGGCCAGTGGCACACTTCCTTCGCCCTCGGGCCCCAGGTGGGATGACCAGCCTAGCAGCATTTCTGGCCCAGAGGCTTCAAGGCACACTTCTCTGGCACACACTGCTCTGGTGCACACGTCCATCATCCAGAGAACTAGCTTCCCCAGGCTGTCCTTCACCCCACCTGGAGCTGAGGGCTGTCCAAGGCCCTGTCACAGCCTGTCCTTCCACCCAGAGAAGGCGAGTGTTCCAACAGTGTTTGCAGTTGTGAAAGGACAAAACTACAGCAATTTAAACATGCTAATTGGCTTTGTTTTCAATTCTGGGGCCATGTAGCACTTCACTAAATAAAGCAGAGTGGGTGCTCCGTGAGCAGAGTGGAGGAGGTGGCTTGCAGACAGAGGCTGAGGAAGCAGCAAGAACCGAGTAAACATCCAGAAAATGCATTGGTCGTTTCAGAGATCCTTTCCTCGTAAGGCGCCATCAGAACAATAGGAGAACAACCAATTGGTTCACATGAGGTCACTTCAGGTCACCCTCTTCGAGTAAGGGTTAAGGCAGAAGGACCTTCCTCGTCATACCAGGGCTGCTGTCTCTCTCATCCTGGTTTCTCAGAAGGTCAGATAAGCAGCTTAGTTCCTTGGGGACCTGAACTGTAGTGTGAATGATGCCATTCTGACTTTTACCCTGGCACCTTGGAATCCACCACAGGAGCCCGACCCAAAACACTGGCCACCTGTAATTTTCACACAGTGTTTAAACAAAATAGAGATATATAACATAAGAAGCCCTGCATCGTGACAGTTTCTGCTTAGGAAGTTGTCAGCCCCTTAGAACACGATCCCAAATTCCAGCCCAAAATTCTAGAAACCTAGGCAATCCCACACCTGTCTATTGAGCACGCACTGTGTGCCAGGGGCTCAGGGAGGATGATAACTGAGAAGTTTCTAGCCTCAAGGTACAGGTGATCACGAAGGAAGAGACACAAAACAATTAAGTGTGTAGATTCCAGTGTGGAGGGAAAGGCTGGGGACCTTGAGCATTTCCAGGTAGATGGAGGGTGAGCATGGAGGCCTGGCTCTCAGGGTGATATCTGCCTTGTGGCCTCTAGGCCAGAAACAGTTCTCTCCACCTGAAATATACCTTTCAAGTATATATGTGTGTGAATGTACACGTGTGTGTGTGTGTGTGTACGTGTGTGTACACATTTACATGGTTACCCACTCCCAGCCTAGAGTGTACCTGGCTAAAGAATGCATCCCAGGCAATATCAGAGGTGACAGAGGACCTGCAGGAGGCTCCACTAGGTGAATGGAGCAAGGAGGGGGAAGAGCAAGAACCAGGAGAGGCATGGAGGAGGGGCAGGAGGTCAAGCTGCCAGGGCAGCTGGGGCAAGGAAGGAGAGGACTGAGGGTGCCCGGCAATCCTGGACTAGACAAACATGAGTGGTGACGTCATTATCTGAGATGAAGAGGCCACCAGAGGAAGTGGGGATCAATTCTGCTTAAACAAGCTGCCTTTGGGGTTCTTAATGTTACCCCCAGTTGAGCGAAGGAGGAACAAAAGTTTTCAGTCACTGGTACAACGAGTACAAGTGTGCTCACTGAAGAATAAATGGAGTGGAAGGAAAACGCCACTGCTTACTACAGGATGGTCCCAGTGCTGACGGGAGCTGCACACCGAGCCCTGAGTGCTCCAGAAGCAGAGAATCTTCCCAAACACTGGCTCCCAGGGCAGGGGCAGCTGCTTTGCATCTTGTCCTTTCTCAGAGCTGGACGGACAAAATGGATCACTTCTTTTTGGACCTGAAAGAAGGGGTCGTTGTGTACCTTCTCCATATGACACACCTTGTCATCTTAGTATCATGTCCAGAGACTTGCCCAAGTCTGCACTGCCTCCGGTGGCAGAGGTCAGGCTTCAGAGGCCTGTCTGGTGCCACATTGGTGCCACTTCCAAGCCAGCCTCCAGCACAGTCACCATGCAGTTCGTGCTCAGGATTCTGTAGAAAGAGTGGGGTTTCATGTCCATGTTTAACAGGAGAGAGTGCTAAGACACAGAACGAGCCTTTCCCCCATGGTTCTGGAGCTCCAGTGCTCAGCAGAGGAAGCATTGGAGGTGGGCAAGAAGTGAGTAGCATGCACCTTCCAGCCCACCATCGGCGTGCTGCCCCTGAGAGCAGGACCCCAAGTCCCTGGGTTGGTAGGGCACCAGACACTGAGGGGAAAGGAGCCAGGCTTGTGTGCTGAGGAGGGAACACAGCCGTGTTGGAGAAATGACACCCCACATCCCTTTCTCCCTTATTCTTCCTGTCCATGTTGATGCACTCAGCAAATGCTTAACTGGCACCTGTGCAAGGCTAGGAACTGGGGGCACAGGCGAACATATAATGGCTTACACACCCCTGGGATGAGTTTTGTAGAGGAGCGTGGGACAAGTGACAGTGAGCGATGCAAGCACAGAGCACAGGGGACTCTGAGGGTGTCTCGCAGAGGGCAAGGGGAGGTCCTGACCTGACACCCACACTAAGGTCAAGCATATGGAAGGGAGGGTGGACACAGGAGAGAATGGGCAGTCTGAAGGGAAGGGGGAGGGTCAGAGGGCAGCACACAGATGGATCTGGGGATGGGTCAGGCCATGAGTAGTCTCACAACACTCTAAGGACAGGGAGAGAGAGAGTGCAGCTTCTGAACTGGGAGATCAGAGCCACGCTGGCCTGTCCCAACGGAGGCCATGGGTTAGAGGGAGAGGCTCAGGAGAGACTTGGGAAGTAAAATCTCCTTGAGAAAAATGTCCACAGCCTTTATATCCCAAAAGTAGAAACCTGAACAAGTATGCTCGGCCTCCCGTGTCCTTCTGAAGTCCGCCCCTTCCTGGAAGAGTGGCTCATGCAGTACAGCACCTGCAGAAATGGCTCACCAAGAGGGAGCTGGACTTGCTTGTCCCTGGTGCTCTGCTTGTACACATGCTATCTATGCTGTCTCTCTCTCCCTCTCTCTTTCTCTCCCACTCCCTCTCCTTCTCTACCTCCTTCTCCCTTTCCCTCTTCCTCTCTCTCCCTCCTCCCTTCTCTCTCTCTCTCTCTCTCTTTCTCTTTCTCTTTTTCTCCTGACTGCATGCGCATAACCTCCTGGCAAGGGGACCAGCAGTGAGTATGCAAAGCACTAAGAGGGCACAGGAACTGTATCTAACATGACAGTCCTCCCTGGATCTTTATTTCTTCCCTGGAAGCCCAGACTCAGGGGAGAATCAGGTCACAGCCTCCCACTGGTTAAGAACAAGTGCTTGAGCCAGCAGCATGGGGTGTTTCTGAAATGTGTTTCACCTTCAGCCTTTCAGGGTGCCCAAGAGCAAAGAAAAGTGGCATCCGAATAGCACAGAGCAAAGAAGATAAAGAAGACCAGGAGCCAATCAGGTATGAGGGCCAGAGAGGCCGAGGCACTTAGGGAAGCCAGTGGACACTGTGGGAACAAAAAAAAAAGAGCCCACAGGTCACAGCAGGCATCTTCTGAGATCTCACTAAATCTACACTAGCTCAGATAAGCCAAAGCCAACGTGCCCTGCTAATCGGCTGAGAAATTACAGGCAGTGTCCAAAACTAAACTGATGTTCTAGGTAACCAAAATCACAAAAAAAACTCCCTCTCCCAGAACAATGTACCGGATGGTAGACCAAACCCCAAAGGGGATGCTTTCCTGGCATTCCCGCTTATGACAGCCACACAGTTGCACCACGCTTTTCCTGAGGCTCACTTGGCACGGTTCCTGTACTGAACAGTCACTTATCACCCAGCAGACACCTGCTGTGTGCAATGCCTGCTGTGTCCAGGTCTCAGAAACCTACAAGATAAACCTGGGGGAGGGGGTTCTTCCTGAAATTTCAATCTCCATGCCTTTGGAGACACATTTTAGTTAAAACATAAGATAAAATAAAGCTTATCAAAGTACATAGGAATTCTGTAGAATATGAACTTTGCTGTTTAAAAAGAAATGCAGGCAAACCCACCAGCCTGGGGTAGGAGAGGCCTCGAATCCTGTGGGGCAAGGCAGCCTCCTTGCTGAGTCTGGGCCCTCCCCCCACCCCCACAGACCTGTGTCAGGAAACTGGGCGGCACAGCTTAGCCCATCCCGGACCTTCAGCCCCAGCGGGATTTCCCGAGCTCTGCACCCCCTCTGTCCCAGGAGCCTCACGGAGCCAGGGCCTCCCAAGAACACAGCCAAACACAGAAATGCCCCAGCCCTGGAGAGAGCATGGATTTACAAAACACCATTTTTATTAGCACTGGGTAATCGACCCCCACACCTTCCCACTGACTTGCATTTTTCCACCAGAAAAGCCACGGTCTGTCCCAGAAGTGGCATCTTCTATAAACGGTCCCTCACCTGCTGCCACAGCCAGGGTTCCTGGTCCTTTCCAGCAGGGCCTGGCTCTGTTGCGGGTCATTTCTGCCAGGGTGGAATCTTTCCTGTCTCCACTAGGTGGTGCCTTTTAGCAATTTTTCTTCTCCTTCCTTTTCCTTTCTCTTAGCCAGGGGAGCGTGAGTGTTCTTTTTCTCCTTCATTCACATCAGGCTATAGAAGCTACCACGACAAAAAGATAACGAAGTTTGTCCGCTCTGTCTGCTGCCCAGGTGTCCTGTACCAGGCTGTGACGGTCAGGGCCACATCACCGGGAAGTACGCGTCACACCGTAGCGCCTCGGGGTGCCCCTTGGCGGCCAAGAGGCAAAAGGATGGGTACCTCAACGGCTCTCAGTTCTCCTGGAAGTCGGTCAAGACGGAAGGAATGTCCTGTCCCACGCCGGGATGTGACGGATCGGGACATGTCAGCGGCAGTTTCCTGACACATCGCAGGTGAGTCCACCCTTACCGGCCGCCCTGGTGCATTCTGACGGGAGCACGGCTGAACCTGCTAGGGTCCAGTCCCCCCAAAAGCAGCACACTGAGCTAGCAAAATTTAGGGGGTTGGAAAAAGATGAGCAGAGCATTAATTTACTCAAAACCCCCTCAACCATTTATAAAGACCATATATAATAGGACCGAGGTTTCCAAGTGTTACCAGGATCCACAGTAAGAAGTAAATTTTAATCACACACACATACATACATACGTGAATATCTGTAGACTGGGACATTTATTTTGACTGGAATTTGCAGGCAGGCCCCAGGTGGGAAAGAAATAGCACTTGTCATAGTGGCCTGGGTCAAAGGAAAAAATTCCACAAAGACTCCATTGACCCCATTAATTTTCATTTACTAATTTAAAGACATATGTAGGATTAGACTGTCCTGGAAGAGGCTTGCCTGTGGTGTGACTCTGGCCAGGCTCCTTGTGAAAGTGACAAGTCTGAGTGGAGACAGATCCAAGCACTGTGCATCTGGGCGGCAGAGGAGCTTGGGAGACCCGGGCACCCTGTGCCGAGGCAAACGCCCCTCACAGTGGTGGGGGGTGTTTCAGGGAGGCCTCCTCTCTGCTGCTTGACCCTGGCTCCTCAGCCTGGATCACACACGAGGCTCTAGTGTCTATCGATAAGCCCGCCTGAGCAGAATGAACAGACAATGATATGCAGACCTAGAGGACCAAGGTGTGTTCACTGGGCCTTAACATGGTTAAGGATGATTTTTTTTCAGTTATTAAAGAAATTCCTGCTCAGGCAGAAAATTCAAGTGGTATAAATACATTTTAAAAGAAAACCTCTAAAGCCCTGCCTGTGTGGTGTGTGAGGACAGGTGTGTTTTCTAACCCTGCACAAGGAAAGCCAAGGTGCATTTCCCTGATGGAAGCTGAGTGGCTTTGAGGGCCCGGCATTCCTGACTGGACTGAGCACTCTTGCAGAGGGCCTGCCTCCTGGGGGGCTTCCCTCCTGCTGAGGTTTTATCCATTTGATTTTAAGAAGCAAATACAAGATGTGAGTGGATGGTGTTTACTTGGGTCCCACCTGCCCATCTCCTCTGTATCTTTTCTGCAAAAGTGTGTGCTGCCAGAGACTCTGGCCACATGGAATTCAGTTCAGACATGCATCCCACCTTCCCTAGCTCACAGGATCTTGGGGCACAGGACATACTTAGTACAATCTCAGCACACAGGCTCAGAGTGACCAGACCACTTTCTACACCCTGTGCTCGTCTGTGGAAATCCATCTGTACCTCAGTTAGGGCTCTGTGACCTGGCCTTCATGTTGGCATCACCTGCCATCACCCCAGGGCCCAGAAGACCCCTCTTTCAAAGCCCCAGGTTCCTACAGGCCACAGAAATCCAGGGCATGAAGTGACCTGACCCCACATTAATGCCAGTTGAGACAACAGCAGGCACTGGGGAGGACCTTGAGGCTCCACCTTGGGCATTAGGACTCACTATGGGGCAGTGAGTCGGAGAGGGCACCTCAGTTACCTCAGACGGACTTCCTGCCCAGGGCTGTACCCATGGTTGACAGAGCTAAGCAGAGACTTTCTTTTACTTGTGGGCATAATTGGAGCTCCCTGACCTGCTGGAGACCAGTGGATGCCAACTCATATGAAACCACTTGCACCACTGAGCAGTCACCGATATGAAAGGGTTCAATGAACTGGCAAGTTGTCCGAGGCACGAGGATCTCTGAGGAGAGATAGCTTGTCTCCTTGGCGTTTGCAGGACAGGCTCCCAGGAGTCCCTGGGGCAAGCGAGACTAGCTGAGTGTTGCCGGTGAGATGCAAATCACCGTAGGGAAGAACAGTGCATTGCAGGCTTTAAACAAAGCATCGGGTCTGCGTTTCTGCAAAAGGGATAGAAGAATTGAGAAATGTTTGGGTGGCAAAACCGGGAGCCCAAGGAACGAGTCTTAGAGGAAAAGAGTGCCAGGGACTGTGTACCGCAGGACAGTGAAACTGGAAGTCCAGGATCTGGGAAAGGAATTCAGTTTTGGCAAAGGTGTGTGTTAGTGAGCTCAGGCTGCTGTAACAGCCTGCTGTAGGCTGGGCGGAGTAACCACAGAAACTCCAGAGCTCTGGAGGCTGAGGTCTGGGACGCAGGCCCCAGCAGACGGGGTTGCTGGAAAGGGCCGTTTCCTGACTTGTAGATGGTCACCTCCCCACTAGGTCCTGACACAGCAGAGAGGGCATGGGGGCCCTCTTCTTCTAGGGACACCAGTTCATCAGCCCAGAGCCTACTTTGTGTGACCTCCTTGAACTCTAATGACCTCTCTTGAGGCCCCATCTCCTAGCACCTGCCTGGGGATGAGGGCATCGTCAGGGGCTGTTGGGGACACACACATTCAGACTGTAGCAGAGGAAAGCAATGATGGTTTCATTTTCAATGTTTTTTTGAGATTTTGTGTCACATTGAAATAGAAAGTTTCATCAGGCAACCAGAAATGGGAGTGGGGAATGGAGACGTCCCAGAGAGACATCCCCTCACACCTGGCCCACAACTCACCAGGACCAGGAATAGGATGGGAAGAGTGATGCCCAAGACACCTCCAGGAAACATTGGCTGGCCTTGGGAAAGCAGCAATGTCACAGAGACCAGGCACCACAATGAGGCAGATGCACAAGGAGGAGGCCACACTCACAGGAAGAATCACGGCAGAAAGGCCCACAAGCATTTAAAAGGATTATGGGGCTCCAAAACTGGAAGGGTGTTGGCCTGGGAAGTCAACAGAGTCATTTCATGGAGGGCTGGAATCAGGATGGGATCAAAACCTAAAGCCAGACTGAGAGAGTTCAAAGGTCAGTGGACATTGTCAAGGTAGCTACAGTGGTATAAGTAATCCTTGGGAAGTCGGGATGAGAGGGGAGGAGCCGCAGCTGGAAAGGACATGGGGACAAGAGAGGACAGGACAGGAGGAGAGAGAAAGGAATCAAAGACACAAGAGGGCGAGCAGGAACCAATGGAGCCCTGTTTCCATGGAGATCAAAAAGCCACAGGCAAGGATGCACACCGTTGGAAGCCAGGAGAGGAGTAAACCAATAGAGAAAGATCTGCCCTAGGCAATGAGCAACTGAGCAGATGGAGGGAGGTAAGGCAGAGAGGGGGCTGCCTGGGGCCATCTTTATGAGCAACTCCACCAACTCACGTGAGGGCTTCAAAGCAAACACAGCAGGCAGCCCAGGACCCGGTCACCCAAGGGGGAGAGTTCTGCTCTTCACCTGAGCAAATCATTACAGCCCTTCAGGCTTCCAGTAACTTTTGTGTGTGCACAGGTGGGGCTGGCACTCCTGCACACCCATGGCACTGGGTTGGGTCTGCACAAAATGTTTTCATGGGTCAAAAGCCCCATCCATTTTGGAAAAGGGCTAAAGATAGCTCAAGATTAAAAAAAAAAAAAAAAGCTGTGTGCTCCCACCTCGCAGATTTGAGGACCTAAGACCTAACCGTAGTTTGGCATACTACGGCAGGTGTGCGTGCCTCACAAGTGTGTGCTTCACTAGGTATGTGCAAAAGGACTTAGGAGGGAGGGGGCAGAAGCAGGAAAGGCTCTGCCCAGGACTGAACTGAGCTTGGGGCCAGGACTAGGTGGGCATATGGCGCCAGCCTGAAGGCATGCATATGGGGTCCCATGGTGGTGGGGGGAGCCTTCTTTACATATGGAATCTACTTCCTTGAGTGTGAAGACAGCTGGCCTCAGTGTCCATGGGTTCCCCATCCAAAGAATCAACCAACTACAGATTGAAAATATTCAGAGAAAAGCACTGTACTGAGTATGTTCCAACTTTTTTCTTGTCATTGTCCCCAAAACAATGCAGTGTAACAACTCTTTCCACAGCGTTTATGTAGTAGTGGGTATTGTGAGAAGATGCAGGTGACCTAACACACGGAAGATGTATGAGGGTTACATTTTGTATGAGGGACTTGACAAGGACAGAGCTTGGTATCTGCTGTGGTTGGAACCAGTCCCGTGGACACCAAGAACAGCTGTGTACTGGAGTCTCCTTTGCCATCAGTTCTTGTTCCACTGAAGTAAATTTAATAAGTTTCTCCAAAATTAAAGCCCACTGAGTCTAACTCTAAGACTCAAATATTTTTAGAAGTGTGTGGTGTCTTTCAGAGGCCTTAACCAGCGCACATTTTCTTTGAGTCACTTCCTGGACCCTCTGAGGCCTCTCTGGCTGGGCGTGCAAGTCAGTCTGTCTGTTCAGTTCCTCCATTACACATGAGGATGCACTCTTTCTGGAATGTTTGTTTTGCTCCACATTTCCTAAGAGAACCCTGGCACAACCACGTCACCACATTGGGAACTTCTCTGGAGTCATTTTTATCCATCATCTCACTCAACCTAGGATTAGTCAGTGAGGCTTCTAGCTGTCACAAACACTGGGGCTGGCTCCTGCAGAGGACAAGTTTGCTTCTCACTGGCACGACAAACCTGGATAGCATAGGAGAGGGTATGTGCAGGAAAGTCGGGGCACAGTCAGGGCAGGTCCAGAGGCAGCACTTCCTTAGCCTCAGGTGAAGGCAGCGCCCCTAGATGAGGGAACACGGGAAGCAGGTGCAGTCTGCCTGGCCAAGGAGAGGAGACTTTGTGCTTGCTTGCTTATGAGGCTGAGCACACAGCTTTATATAAACGCAGAGAAACATTCAACCAACACACCTGAGATCTGTGCAGTTCCTTTTTCAGAGATGAGGAAGCTCGATGGCAGAGGGCAAGTCCCTTTCCCATGTGTTCACTGCCTGTAAGTCATAGAGCCAGGATTGAACCAGGGCTGACCTTGTCCATGAATTTGTCTATCTGCAAACATAGCCCATCTTCCCACAGCGCAGCCCCTCCACCCCAGACACAGCCACTCACCAGGAGCGTGTAGCTACTTGCTAGGTTCTTTGGGCTTTAGAGCACAGATCACTGCCATGACTGGAGTAGAAGGGGATCTCCTCCCCAGCCA